GGGAAATCTACTTCAGTAGTGATACTGCCTCAGAAACCCAAGGAGGGGTCACTATGAGTCGGGTCCGACTCGATGGCATGTAACAACAATAACATAACAGTCAGGACACAAGAGTCATTGTACCAAAAAGAATTGATCAGTGATCAACCACTGAGAAGGTAGCATATGATCAAGAATCAGTGGAATTGAAGGAAGAAGTCAAAATTGCACTGAAGACATTGGAGAAAAACAAGGCTCCAGGAATCAATGGAATATCAATTCAGATGTTTGCAAAAACACATGCAGCATTGGAAGCGCTCACTCATCTGTCCCAAGAAAGTTGGAGGACAGCTACCAGGCCAACCAACTGGAAGAGGTCCATATTTATTCCATTCCAAAGAAAGGTGATCCAACAGAAAGTAAAAGTTATCAAACCATCATTAATATCACAAGTAAAATTTTGCTAAGATAATTCAAAAAACATTTTCAGTAGTACATTAATGGGGAACTGCCAGAAATTCAAGCCAGATTTAGAAGAGCATATGGAATGAGAGACATCATTGTTGACGTCAGATGGATCTTGGCTCCAAGTAGAGAATACCAGAAAAATGTCTACCTATGTATTATTGACTATGTGAAAGGCGACTTTGTGGATCATAAAAAATTATGGATAACATTGCAAGGAGTGGGAATTCCAGAATAATTATGCTCATATGGAACCTGTACATAGAACAAGAGGCAGTCATTAAACCACAAGGGGTTATTGTGTGGTTTTAAATCTGGAAAAGTATGCATCAGGGTTGTACCCTTTCACCTACTTACTCAATCTGTATGCTGACCAAATAACCTAAGAAGCTGGACTATATGAAGAAGAACACAGCGTCACAATTGGAGGAAGACTCATTAGCAACCTGGATATACAGATGACACAAACTTGCTTGTGGAAAGCAAAGAGAACTTGAAGGTCTTACTGAAGAAGATCAAAGACTACAGCCTTCAGTATGGATTACACCTCAACATAAAATAAAAATCCTCATAATTGACCAATAAACAATATCATGATAAACAGAATATTGAAGTTGTCAAGGATTTCATCTTCGATCCTCAGTCAACACCCATGGAAGCAGCAGTCAAGAAATCAAACAACATATTGCAGTGAGCAACTCTTTTGCAAAAGATCTTTTTTACAGTGTTCAAAAGCTAAAATGTCACTTTGAGGACTAAGATATGTCTGCCCCTAGCCATGGTATTTTCAGTTGCCTCATAGGCATGTGAAAGCTGGACAGTGAATAAGGCAGGCTAGGGAGTTATGGTGTTAGCAAATATTACTGAATATACTATGGACTGCCAGAAGAATGAACAAATGTATCTTGTAAGAAATACAACCACAAATGCTCCTTAGATGTCAGGATGGCACAAGACTTCATCTTACGTATTTTGGACATGAAGCTTGGTAAAGCAGAGGGCCAGGAGAAAAAGTGGAAGCCCCTCAGTAAGATGGTTTGACACAGTGCTGCAACAATGGGCTCAAACACAGCGACAACTGTGAGGACTGGGCAGTGTTTCCTTCTGTTGTATGTAGTGTCAACGGGAGTCAGAACCAACTTGACGGCACCTAACAGCAACAGTCAGCACTTCCAGGACAGAATTCTGAATTTATAAATGCGAAGTAACTACCTGTGCCTTTTTCTTTCTTTCCTCAATTGCAATTACAAAAGCTGCATGGAAACATATATTTGAACTTACTCTATAAATATTTTTAATAATCATTCTTTACTACTTCAAACAGTATGCAGTCTTCAGGAGTTACTTGGTTGATGTTGAACTAGGTGATATTTAAGATCCCTTTCAGTTCCAATATGTTACAATTACAGATACCTAGAAACATTAGTAGTGTTCTCAGTAATAATTATATGCCCATGTAACAGGTAAAGTTTATAAATAAAAATAATTAGAAAAAATAGTGGCCACATAGAAAATTTATTTGAAACTTAAAATTCTGAGGCTAATAATATATATCTAACATTCACAATGGAGCATGGCAAGAAATCCATAAATTTGTCAAATGCTCTGAATTCCCTTCCATTCCTAGGATACCAGAGCCCTCCTTATGATAATTCTTTCTCAGAATCTTTTAATAAAAGCATAATTGCACATGAACTTGTATATTGCAACTTTGAAATCAGTCTCAGGACCTTTTACAGGACTACTGTTCATAAGAACAACTTATACAATAATGGTTTTAATGACCCTTATTTAGGTAGTTTTTCTTTCTTTTTTTTTTAAATGGAACTTAAGGCTTGGCCACAATTCTCCTGGAAACACTGCTGCAGACAATTATGTACATCAGATAGTCTGGTTCTGAGTATTACGTTTTTTATCTTAATTGGTGGAACACTATGCAGAGGAAGGACGGTTAAGGGAAGACATGCATTTTTTGTGCTGCCTCTGCTCCATAGAGAAGAGAGGATGCTAAGCGACCTCAGAGTTTAGCACTTCTGAGGTCTTTAAGGTTCTTATTACTATTCTGACTTCTCAGACAATGATGACCTGTTTTCTGAAACAAATTTCCTTATCCAATCTTCCTTAGGCATATGATAAGCTAGCCCCCCCTTTAGCATAGGAAATTAATAGCAAACATTACCAATAATCCATTAATGATAAAAATTGATTTAATTTGTGAAGGTTTTTATGTGTTTTATATGTTTGACTCTCAAGAAATATACTAATAAGGAAGTTTAGAGGAAACAAGAAAGCTAATTTAAAAATAGGAGAAAAATAAATGCTGTTTAAAGAACATAATGCTGATGGCAACTGTTTTCTTCAAATACTTTAAGAATAACTGTAAAGAAAGAAACTAATGCAGGAGTAGAAAAAAAGAGATTTAAAAGTCCTTAAGAATTTAGGTTAAATTGAGACAGAAGTTTCTGCTATGTGTTCCTTAGACTTAGAAAACCATCTTGCTTCAGTTTGGAGACAGAGGGTTCGTTCACAGAACTCGTTGAGCTTTGCAATTCGAAAAAGGTATCTTATTTATCAAATTATTCTTATCGAGTCCCTCCCTTCCCTGTGTTTTCAGGGCATTAATAAGAATTCTGCCTCACAGTCCCATCCTTCAGCACACTGAAGCAGAGTCATTAGATCTGGAGGCTCCTCACTACCTCAGAGTAGGGGCTTCAGCCTTGAAAAGAAAGATTCTTATAACCTTCAATAGGACAAAGATTCCAAGTGAAGGTTTGTAATCACAAACTGTTTCAACTATTAAACTCATTTTTCCTTTCAGGTAATGTAATCACTAACAATTGTGTTTATGCCAACAGAAAAGGAAGAAAGCAATGTAATTCTTAAGAAAGAAAGAAAAAGCTGTCTCATAATTTGAAAGGTATTCAAGTACAAAGCGTCGTCTTCATTTGGAAGTTTTCCAAACCCTGCATCTTCATAATGTATTCAGGAAAAGTGTGTTTTCCTGAAATTAAAGTTGATTTCCCCACTCCTTGGAAATTCTGTTACCTATCACGTAAGTAATGTAGTACTTCAAAGTAAAAGAACTGCAGCTGGAAGGTACTCAAAACCAATTAAGTAATCCTTTAAGCCTAGGAAAGAGGTCAAGAATCGTATGATTAGGTGTTTCCATATTCATTGGAAACATAACTGAATTTAAGAGTATATTTATTTGGGACTTGCACACTAAGAAAAATATTTACATATATTTTGCAAAGAAGTAAACAAACATTTTATTTTAAAATACACAGGTCGAAATAGTTTTCAAGTTTGATTTTACGAAAAGTGTGGTTTCAAAAAATTACAAACTTTTAAAAAAGACGGAAAAGTAGAGGCTTAAGACATGCAAGAGCGGGGCGAGGGTGGAGGAAGCAATGGGAAGGAGACAGCAGAACGCAGCTCTAGAAACGGTACCTGTCCAAAAGTGGGTTTGCACACCGTGGTCGCCCTGCACAGCCCTTTCAAAGCTTATCTACAAACAGAACAGAAAAGGTTCTGTTCTCGAGCGCCACTAAGCGAGAGAGGTCAGCCTTAATGGGAAAAGCGATGTCTCCTCCCAGGGCTCCAAGACTCGACAGACACCTGTTTCCTTAGGTCCCAGTCTTAGATATAGTTGTGGTCTATCCGACTTCTAGAGACAAGTGGCAGCGAGGTCCACCCAGGATCCAGGCAGCAAGTTTCCTTGGCTTGGCAGTTGCAGATTTCCGTCACCACACGCATTGCTCCATATCAAACTCGATCTGACTCACAGCATGTTTCACTCCAACCTTGCCACCCTGCAGGCCAGGTTGGGACCTGGGGGCTAGTGCATGGCACAAGGTGGTTGGGAGGGCCGGGTACTCGGCGGCCCGTCAGTTACCACTCTTACTGCTGCAGCGGCTGCGAAGCTGCGGCCGGCTCACGTCTCCTGCATAGTTCGCGCCCGTTTGCAGCGTGGGGACCTGCAGTAGCAGCCCACCCTTGGGTTCACCCTAGCACACACCTCTCGCCCGGGGGCTTCCACCCGTAAGCGCGACCCCGCCCGGGTTTGTCCTCCCAGATGGCCACCGGTACCTGCTGCCCAAGGTGCGCCCGCGGTTGGCCCGTGGCTCATTCTCCCTCTCGCTGAAAAATCACCCGTTTGGAGATCAAGATTTCCGCCACTCTACTTGCACTCCCCAGCCCCCACCTCCCTTTTATTTTTTAAACTTTCACTGTGGTTAAGCTATACTGATCCTAAGCTTGCATCACGGACCTCTTCTGGGAGGATTTAAACAGGATCCTGAGCAGAAGCCTTCGCTACTCCGGGTTCTCGCCTGTAGCTCGCCTACAGGAGACGCCCCCGGGCGGGGCAGGCCAGGCCGGCGGGGGTCGACGCTGGGAGGGGGCGGGCGGAACAGCCTCCAAAGCAGGGGAGCCTCTGGGCTAGACCCGCAGCGCTAACCCTCGGGACATCCGGCCCGCGAGCAGGCGAAGGAGTGCCTAGCAGGTGATGGAGACCGGGAGACACCCGGAGAGAGGAGGCGGGGTAGGGAAGGCGGGGAGAGCACGGGGGTGGCGGCTGGCAGGGGGCGCTGGAGTCTGGAGCAGCCCGTGCGCGGCTCGCGCCCCGGGGTGGCGGAGACTCTGAAGCAGCAGCTGCACCGTGAGCCTCCGGGGCCCGGGCGGCGGCTGGGGGTGAGGTGGGGGGCCGGCAGCCGCCGCCGGGGGTGCAGCAGGCTTCAGCCCCTTTGTTCTCGCGTGCTCCCCCTCGCCGCCCACTCCCCTGCTGTCGCGAGGCGGCGACGGCGGCTCCTCCCGCCCGAGGCAGTCGGGCTCTGCGCCGGGGGCGGGAGGGGGCGGGGGGAAGCGCGCCAGCCGCCGAGAGTGGGGGGCGATGGCGAAGCTCCGGGTGGCTTACGAGTACACGGAAGCCGAGGACAAGAGCATCCGGCTCGGCTTGTTTCTCATCATCTCCGGTGTGGTGTCGCTCTTCATCTTCGGCTTCTGCTGGCTTAGTCCCGCGCTGCAGGATCTACAAGCCACGGCGGCCAACTGCACTGTGCTGTCGGTGCAGCAAATCGGCGAGGTGTTCGAGTGCACCTTCACCTGTGGCGCCGACTGCAGGGGCATCTCTCAGTACCCTTGCGTCCAGGTGTACGTGAACAACTCTGAGTCCAACTCCAGGGCGCTACTGCACAGCGATGAGCACCAGCTCCTGACCAACCCCAAGGTAAGAACACCCCGCGCACGCTGGGGCTCCGGACAGGGTAAGCGGGGGAGATTTTCCCGCCTCGCTTTTGCGGAGGTCCTCAGGTTGAAGAGCAACATCAGTGTTAGATCTCTCGCGGGGTGTGGTTGTGTTGTGCTCGCGTTACTGGAAGGAGATGAGACATCTGAGGTCATACTCAAATTAGGAGTAAGTACGTCGGGGAGCCGGTGGGCTCCGTTCGTTAGATTGGGTTTGTGTGCGGGGACCAGGTGGTGCCCATATACTTTTTTTTTACACACCTGTCCTACCAGGTCTTAGATTTTGAGGCTACAGCCAAGCGCAGGTCCGGCGCCTACCGGACGAGGTTTGGTGAAATGCAGGGAGCCAAAAGTTAACTTTTCTCAGGATTAAGCCTGTGGGTAGCCAGAACATATTTACACCTGCGGCCAAGGTCCGAACTTGAACTGGCTGCCTTTGAAATTACCTTCGTTAGGAAACAGAGGGGTCTTTTAGCTCCTTGAAAGGCGCTGGGAATTCCTTACCTTTTATCGCTAGACTCACATTATAACTTGGTGTCCAAAGATGAGCTTTGGGAAGTTGACAGATGTCCTGGAATCAAATGCAAAGTGCTGTGTAAGTTCATTATTTTTCCCCCCCTGAGGACAAAGGACTCCTGGTTTTCGTGAAGTAGAGCCTCAAAAAGGTGTAAAGGGAGCCTAGTAACTTCCTGAGTGTCTGGGGACATTGGGGGGTTTGGAGAACGATAAAACACTAAAAATAGAAAACTTACGTGAAATTTACAAACTATTCCTTCCCTGAAAACTTTTCTGAATCACAAGCAAAAAAGAAAACACAAGGGGCAGAAAGAGGGGAACTTGGAAAAAAACTAACAAAAAGCATTGTCCTCAGTCTGAATTAATTGAGCTTTGTAATGAGCCTGGTTGCACAAGAAGGGTTTCATTTTCGTCTTGTCTTGGTCTTCCTTACTATCTTTATCTTTGTTGCTTAACGGTCAAAGTAAAGTTGTGTATCTTCTTTACACTTACCTTTTCTGTAACTCCTAGTGAGGGTTATGCTTGAAGATGTAGTAGGAAAACAGTCCAAAAGGGAATGAATCTTGTGAACACAGGAAAACTTCCTATCAAATGTAACAGGCTTATACTGATGCCAATTCAAAAGAAAAAACTAAAAATTCTACATTAACTTTTTTTATTTTTTTAAGTTTTGAAAAAAACAGGCTTCCAATGACTGTGCAGTAAAACTCATGGGTTTGTCTTCTAAACAATAGATTCTTGAATTGGGGGAAATACAAAATCAGGAATTCTTTTGAGTATTTCTCTCTCCAAAGAATGTTCCTACCAACAAATGAATATTACAATTACCTTTGAAAAATGAAGATAATACATAAGCAGAATCTATAGGAATGAAAATTCAGAACTACAGAATTTAGATCTTAGAAAAAAAGCTTGATGAGGATAGAGTGCAGTATTTAAGCTCTTGAGGAAGCAATAATGTCTCAGTGTTGTCAATTCAGTTTGCAAAGTGCTCAAGAATTTTAAAAGAAAACTTAGGATTTTAGAAATATCTTTTTTTATTTTTCAGGAGTAAAACAAAAATATCAAAGAAAAGTACCCACACTAATAATGATTTAGAAATTATATTCTAATTCATCATATAGGAGGCGTTGTTAGTTGGTGGAACGTTGTTAATTATTTTAAGATCAAGATTCAGACAGTAATAAATTATATATATATATATATATACACCAGTAAATTGCTAATACCTAATCTAATAATAATCATTGAGAAATTATAATTTACTACAAAAAGACCGCTTCACAATTCCCAAAGGTAATGTTGACGCTCCTGACAGAAAAACCATATTGAGGTAATTAGGACATAGATGTTTAAATCACTTGGAAGCTGTCCAGTGCTTTATGTAATACTAAGATTCTTTTCTCTCTCTCTCTCTCTCTCTCTTTTCAAATAATCTGTTTTTTTGTTTTGGTTTGCTTACTTCCAATGCCAATTTAGGTCCTGGCAACAGTTGTTTTGAAGAATTACCTGAATAAAATACCATTTTATGAAGTGCTCAGAAAATAATAGAACTGGAAAAAGATATGTTTATGTTACAGAAAATGATGAACAACATACCAGCCAATGTAGTTGTTTCCTCAACTAAACCATTATGTATTGATTTATCCAAATTATGATCACCTCAAAGCATACATGGAGCATAACTTTGCTCTTTAGCTGTCAACTTTCTGCTTTTGGTCAATAAGTGTTCCATTTAGAAATTCTTGTAGGCAATTACTAATGGAAAAATTCAACATAAACAAAATAGTGTGCTGGAAAAGTACATAAGAAGAATGTTGCAGTAGTGCCATTGCAGTGAGACAATACCCAGTTACTGTTGCATCTTGGTTGCCTAAGTTTTTTTTTTTTTTGACTAGCTTTACCTCTTCATTAAACACCTAGGTTCCTCACCCATTCCCTTTGTAGACTGTCTAGATGTGCATGGATCGTAACTACCCTTCAACTTTCTTCTTCTTCATCACCCACCAGCAAAAAACCATTTAATGAATCACTTCTTAGAGAAATAGAACGAAGACTTTTTTCCCTACCTTGAGTTTGCAGCATTAATTACAGTAAAAGATGGGGAAGGGGAAAGAATGTTACAAAATAATGTAACTCTGTAAGCCATAGATTACTAAAAATGACATTGCAAATGAATAAGATCTTTGACTAATAATTTCTTTAGACTATATTTAAATCCTAATTAATTTGTTAATTTATGTTTTGAGTCATATCCAAAGTAATCATTGCATCCAGTTGTGTAATGTAGTATTCAAGTAGACTACTTATCCACAGGAAAATGATCAGCTTGGTGGACTAACCATAGCAAAAATTTCAACTTCAGGTCTTCTTGCTACTATTCTTATCACTGCATTATCTCTTTGGGACCCATAGTAGTATATCTTAATAGCATATTTTAAGAGCAGTGGTTCTCAAGTGTGGATTGCACATTAGAATCACCTGGGAAACTTAAAAATAAGTAAATAAATTCTTCTGCCTCTCTCTGTGCCTCAGAGATACTGATTTGATCTTGAGTAAGTCCTGGGAATTGGTATTTTTACAAAGTTGTTTTGGTTAACCTTCAGTGCTGCTCTAACAGAAGATACCACAAATGGATGGCTTTAACAAACAGGGATTTATTCTCTTACAGTTTAGGAGGCTAGAAGTCCGAGTTCAAAGTGCTAAGCTCTAGGAGCTAGGTGAAGACCCCTCGACCTTGGGCTTCAGCTCTGTCTCTTGCTCCCGGCCCACTGGAGCTATGGGCATCTCTTCACTCAGGCAACTGCTGGCTGCTGAGGCTGACAAACCCAAGGTCAACAAATAAAATGGCACAGTCCCAAGATTACCAAACAACATGGCAGGCCACTACTTCACGTCCAGAGGCAGTCCCAAGATTCGCAGGAAACATGGCAGGCTGCTGAATGAAGACTTGGCTACATGCTGGGTCCAAGTGTGCCGTAAAGCTCCAAGACTTTTCTCAGTGCTTCTTCTTATATACTGGAAGCAGACCACATCCCTAATTCAGCTCCTAAACTGCTCCAATAGACCCCACCATGAAGTTGAATACCTGTGTCTCATCATGGGGAATAACTACATTCAGCTGCCCAGCCACTCAAAAGCAAGCCCAGCCAAGCTGACGCACAACTACCACAGAAGTGTTTTTGTTTGTTTTAATAGTATTTATTTTGTTGTTGAGAATATATGCAGCAAAAACATACACCGATTCAACCATTTCTACACGTATAGTTCAGCGACCATTCTCACCTCCTTCTCTGAGCTGTTCCTTCCCCATTAACATAAGTTCACTGCTCTCTAAGTTTCCAGTTTCATTTTTTGTTTTTTTGTTTTGAGTTGCTGTTGTCACATTGATCCCGTATAGATAGTTCTTAAAAGAGCATAATGCTCAAGGCAGATATTTTTTACAGTTGTTGTTGTTATGTGCCGTCGAGTCGGCCCCGACTCATAGCGACCCCTCCTTGGGTTTCCGAGGCAGTATCACTACGGAAGTAGGATTGCCCAACCTTCCTTCCGAGGAGTGGCTGGTGGGTTTGAACCGCCAGCCCTCTGGATAGCAGTCAAGTGCTTTTAGCCACTATGCTACCAGAGAGCTCCTAGTTAAGCTAAATTACTGTTGGGTTTTGAGAAGACTTCAGGGGATACTTTTGGTTTAAGGTTTAAAGATTATCTCAGGCAATAGTTTCAGAGGTTTGGCCAGGCTTTATGGCTCCAGAAAGTCTGGAGTCCATGAGAATTTGAAATTCTATCCTGCTTTTCCCCCCTTTTGATCAGGATTCCTCTGTAGAATCCTTGATCAAAAGGTTCAGTGATGGTAGCCAGGCACCGTGTAGTTCTTCAGGTCTTATGTTCCATATCCTTCTCCTGTTCTGACTCTGCTTCTTTCTCCCTTTCTCCAGGTGAATAGAGATCAGTTGTTATTCCTTGAATGGCTACTTTCAACCTTTTAACACTCCAGGAACTATGAAGTGAACTAGGAGGTAGAACAGAGCACTTAATACATTATTAGGCCAATTAACTGGAATGCCTCATGAAACTATGAAGTTTTTTTTTCCCCCCAAGATTTGCAAGTGATTCTTATGTGTAGACAGAGTCAAATCACTGGATTAGAAAATGTACTCACTGTGCAAGAAAAGTAAAATTAGAATTACAATTCATTATGATTAATGGTTGTGTTTTTCAGTCAAAAGATGTTATCGATGCCACTAAATGTAGGGATTTAATATAAAAGGAGGGACTCAAGGAAATTCTGAAAGAGAACCAGCAAATAATTTAAAATTAATTTGGGAATGACCATTTAAATTTGGTTAAATGAATTTATACTGTTCTAGATATATGCTTTAACATGAATACATACATTGGATGGCAAAGAAAAAAAATACTGCCCTCTTGTATGTGAGACAAGAGAGAGTAGGTGATTCAAGGCTATCT